GGTGCGTTTGAAAGGTCTTTCGGAGAGCTTTCAAATGATATGACTCACAGTTGCCATCGATTGTTTTTTTAAATTTTGCAACAATTAGGCAAAATTGAAAATTCTGAAATTTTTTTATTATTTTTGACAATTAGCCAATTTTGGAAAAAAAATCGTACGAAAATTTGAAGTACACCATTTTTTAGCTATTACCAAGCCCTATCTGAATCACTCATCAAAAATTTATTTTCGTCAAATATGACGCGCGCACGGGCATTTTTTCCTGGAAGTGACAGTTTTTTTCAACATTTTTTATCTCCGTCAAATTGTAACAATCGAAAAAAATTTATAGGAGAAAAAATGTTTGTTGTTTCACGTAGAATACTGCAATAATTTTTTTTTGGGTTTTTCGAATAATTTTTTTTTTCGGTTTAAATTATTTTTCAAGGTCGAAAAAAAAAAGATTTTTTTTTTTATGTGATTTACGATACTTGTTATGTAGTATTATTGAATGGGTGGAAAAAAATTTTTTTTTGTGGTTTCTCATCTTTTTAGCGTACCGACTGTCAGAAAAAAAAATTGAAAAAAACCGAAAAAAAAAATTTTTCGAAAAACCAAAAAAAAAATTATTGCAGTATTCTACGTGAAAAAACAAACATTTTTTCTCCTATAATTTTTTTTCGATTGTTACAATTTGACGGAGATAAAAAATGTTGAAAAAAACTGTCACTTCCAGGAAAAAATGCCCGTGCGCGCGTCATATTTGACGAAAATAAAATTTTTGATGAGTGATTCAGATAGGGCTTGGTAATAGCTAAAAAATGGTGTACTTCAAATTTTCGTACGATTTTTTTTCCAAAATTGGCTAATTGTCAAAAATAATAAAAAAATTTCAGAATTTTCAATTTTGCATAATTGTTGTAAAATTTAAAAAAACAATCGATGGCAACCGTGAGTCATATCATTTGAAAGCTCTCCGAAAGACCTTTCAAACGCACCCACGCGCGTCTCTGTACGTTAATTTCTACCAGAGATATAAAACTTTGAAGTTAGACTGATTTTGCCCGTGGGGGGGTAAAAGTGCGTGAGCGGCACTGTAGATCAGGACTGAACGTGGAAGCAGAGAAGGACAAGAGAGGAAGTACGAAGGAAAGCGAAAGAAATAAAAAGTAAAGGTAAAGAGGTAAAGATGTGGCATAACGGGGTGAAGTCAGAGGAAGAAGAATGGTGGTGGAGCGAGAGAGAGGGAAAAATGGTAGTAAAGGAGGTGGAAGGGTTTCGAAAACAATAGAGATAAAAGAGAGAGAGGAGAGAATGGAGAAAGAGGGGAGAAAGGCAGTAAAAATACTATTCTGGAACGCGGCGGGGGTGAGGAGCATGGAGGAAGACGACTGGGAATATGTTAGGGAGTCGACATAATAGGGCTAACGGAAACCCGGGTGAAGAGACAAGGGGCAAGAACTGGTGCGGAGAAACAACTGAAAGGGTACAGCATAGAGTGGAGGGACTCAAGAAGGGAAGGAAGAAGGGGGAGAGAAATAGGGGGAGGAATAATGGCGTTAAGAGAGAGGAAAGGGATGAGTAAGGTTGAATGGAAGAAAGAAAGGACAACTGAGGTAATAGTAGGAGAAATAAAGATCGGAGGGAGGGAATACATGATAGCATCGGTGTATATGCAACATGAGAAGAAGGAAAACTATGAATACCTAAGCGAAGAGAAAGAGGAGAACAGAGGAAAAATAATAATTATAGAAGGAGACTTCAACGCAAGAACAGGAATCGAAGGAAGGGAATGGGAGACAGAAGAAAACCTAGAGGAAATAATGGCCAAGGATAAAGTGTTAAACGCACAAGGAGAAGAAATGATAAAATGGCTAGGAGAAATGGACTTAGTGATAACGAATGGGAGAAAAGAAGGAGATGAAGAGGGAGAAATAAAATATACGAGGTGTGATCAAAAAGTAAGGTGAATTTTTATTTTTCTCAAAAAATATTTATTTATTCATCAATTTTTATTTTATCTCCTTTAAAGTAATCCCCCTCGGATATAATGCACTTGTGCCAACGCTTTTTCCAATCCTCAAAGCATTTCAAAAAATCATTTTTTGTGATCTTGTTTAGTTCATCCTTCGATGCCGTCTTTATCTCCTCAATCGTGGCAAAACGCCGTCCTTTCATGGGCCTCTTCAGTTTTAGGAACAAGAAGAAGTCACAGGGGGCCAGATCTGGGGAATACGGTGCCTGTGGCATCGTTACTGTGTTGGTTTTAGCCAAAAATTCGCGCACAAGCAACGATCTGTGAGCAGGGGCGTTATCATGGTGCAAAAGCCAATTTTTATTTTTCCACAAATTCGGACGTTTCTGGCGGATTGCTTCGCGCAAATTGTGCATAACTTGCAGGTAATATTCCTTATTTACTGTTCTACCCTGTGGCAAGAACTCATGATGCACCACGCCCCTGCAGTCAAAGAAAACTGTAAGCAAAACCTTTACATTTGATCGAACTTGGCGTGCTTTTTTTGGTCTTGGTGATCCAGAATGCCTCCACTGGGACGATTGAGTCTTAGTCTCGACGTCATAACCGTATAGTATACCCATGTTTCGTCACCTGTTATAACCCTGTTGAGTAAATCTGGATCATCGTTGACGTCATTCAGTAGCTCTTGGGCGATGCTCATGCGACGTTTCTTTTGGTCGAAATTGAGCAATTTCGGAACAAACTTCGCTGACACACGTCTCATGTCTAAAACACTCGTCAAAATTGATTGGCACGAACCAAATGAGATGCCAATATCATCAGCAATTTCTCTAATGGTAATTCGACGATTTCCCAACACTATTTTCTTCACTTCTTCAACATTCTCATCAGTTGTTGATGTGCTGGGGCGTCCAGAACGAGGTTCGTCGTCGGTGTCTTTTCGGCCTTCTTAGAAGAGTTTATACCACTTGTAAACATTTTTTTGGCTTAAAGTAGACTCACCGTATGCCACTTTCAGCATTTCAAGTGTTTTGGAACATTTGATTCCATTTTTCACACAAAATTTAATGCAAACTCTTTGATGAGCAGCAAATCGTGGAGCACGCAAAACACTTCTAACCTTGATGCCTCTCACAAACAAACCAAATATACTACAAAGCTGAAATTTGGAACGTATGTTTCAGACGAGTGTACCGACATAACCAAATAAAAAAGTCGAAGATCGAACGAACGTAGCCCGCTAAATTTCAAAATTCACCTTACTTTTTGATCACACCTCGTATAAATTGTATTATATAAATACATTATATTATATAAATAAATTATATTATATAAATACATTTTATTATATAAATAAATTATATTATATAAATAAATGAAATTTAATTACATATAAATAAATTTTAATATTTAAAACGCATTTCTGATTGGCTGGGATGGAGGAAGGGGCGGGGATTCTTGCACGTGATCTAAGAGTGCTAATCTGATAGTTCATACACTTCAAATCACTTATCTGAAGCCTGCACTGATCTGAGGGCCCTCTGATCTGTGGTCTCTCTAGTTTACTTACTTACAACCGTTGTCACCTACCACCGTAGATTTCGTGGACGAGTACGCATAAATAATAACAGCGTGTGAACTGGAAGGAATACGAAGACGCAGTAAGGGTGGTTCTCCGGCATCGAACCACCCGCGATGAAAGACCCCAGTAGAGTACGACATTATGTTGAGTCATTGTAAAGCCGTTCTTACATCACTAACTGTAGCAGATTGTCAAAAATATCAAGTGAGTCGGGAATTTGATCCGCAAGCGAAGCGGAAAGTATGATTCGCTGTAGAAGTTAGTGTTTTCTCTATCTCACAAGGTCGGGTGTTGTTACGCATGACGTGTTATAAGATAAGTGAGCCGGGAAAACTCTCGGCCTAACTAAGCATAATGAAATATAATTGGTGGAGGAAAATAAATCTACGCTACGCACGTCTATTCCAACGATAATTAATAGTGTACCGAGTTTTTTTCATCTTTCTAATCTAATTCGAACCCATAGGCTTTGCGGCGCTTTGCCGGAATTCTATAGGAGAATAGCGCAACGGTGAGCAACTGCGGTCAAGCTGGCGGTTAGCTTTGCACCGAAAGAAAGATTATTTTACACCTGTTTAATAGCAAAACAATTGTTAACAAAGCGGGGAGTATCGATCTCAAACCACGTTTTAGTCCGTTACAATACATATATGATGCATATTATAACAGGGTTTCGGCTCAGCTATTTTAAAAAATGAACGGACACGTCGGGAATCGAACCCGCGTTCTGTAGATCCATAGACTGACACTCTACCACTTGAACCACGACCGTTTCTACACTTGATAATATTCTCATTGTCTATACTGTCTGTACTATACTTGCCGACTTGATCTCTCGTTATAATACATATATAGATCAATCCACGTCAAACAGATAATGGATTTGTCTAAAATTTTAGATCACCAAAAAAATTGTAGAAGAGCTCAAAATATTCATCTTATATTCTACTTTCTTCTGTAATGTGGTGACTTTGAACAATCCAAAATGGTGTTTCCAATATGGCTACTCAAACCTAGAGATTTCATAAAAAATATTATTACCTTGTACAATACTATATTCATATATAAAGCTGGAAGCTGAATTCATTTCTGGCATAAAAAAATATGTAGAATTACAATTAAATGATTTACAATTGATTTTTGAAAAATTTTTATGAAATCTCTAGAATTGAGCAGCTATATTGGAGCCGCCATTTCAAAGTCGCCACGTTGCAGAAAAAAGTAGAGTATAAGACGAAAATTTTGAGCTAATCTGCGATTTTTTTTGGTGATCTACAATTTTAGACAGAGCTATTATGTTTGACTTGAATTGATCCATATATATAACATACACGTGCTTAAAATATCCATTTCATTAATACTTATATTGCGATCGAGCTATTGTTTGCATATTTATTAGTTCCTGTCTATTCAAAAATAATCAGTTACTTTCAATATTTGTTTTTATTAACTCTGTTTTAGATGTCGGACATATTACCAGACTATCAGAAAATGTCAATTCTAAAGATAAATCCATAACAAGTGTCCCGATCGAACGAAAAGTTGTAGATCAAAAAACGGTATGTTAATATAATATATTATATCTTTTTAAATAAAACACCAACACTATATACACATAGTAGACAGCAAATATCATTTGTTCATAAATTAATATTATTTAATCTTTGCTTGTCATAATAGGATACAATACAGCATAGTATAATAAGTTTATTTTATATATATAAACTCGTATCTAATATCAATTTGGAAACTGATATCCAAAGATGCTATGAAAAATGTCGCAGGTTAAAATATACAATTATTAAGTTGTTATAACAGTATTTCGACTGAGATAACAAAACAGTGTATCAAGTATGTCATTTGACATACAGCGGTGTTATGTCAAATAAGATTTCAAGTATATTTTATTTATAAATATATGTATGAATAATCAAATTAAAATTTAATAACGTATAAAATTATTGATTAATTACATAATCTGCTTCGTTATTGACTAAACATTACGAGTGTCATGATTCAGTCTGATTTTTCCTTCGCTGTGCTATGGTTAGCCATTGTACACCCTAAAAGTATGATAATGTGTTGTCTATGATAAGGCGGCATTTGTCTAGGTCACCAAGTTTTCTGTTAATATATATATATATGGGAGGTGAATGCCTCCGGATGACTTCATGAGAAAAATGTCTCGTCGATCCGACAGGATCAAATTTCAGCTCTGGCAGATGTAAGTGTAGCAAATCAACAGTCTGACATGGAAGCGCAGCGATGTCGCTAATAAAAGGAGTATCTCCCTTGATTTTCGTGGGCTTAGTCTGTTAAAGTCACCCGTGAGTGGGGTGAGAAGCAAGCAAAAATCAGAAAGAGTAAAAAGAAGCGCATTTTACGAGGAAACTCCCACCCCTTCCCCCAACTCAACCTCATCGATTTGAATAATGTATGTAGTACTCGATAAAATAAGAGACACGTAAGTAGTTTAGCAATGTATGTACTTTATCCCTAAGGAAATGGCCTAGAACATACGTTTGTATGCTATGTATGGTTGGAGAAAGTACCTAGAGATCCTAGTGCTCTCTGCCTCATTTGATAATTTATTTTAATATATTTAAATATTATTAATAAATAAAATGTTAAAATTTATGTTAATTTATTTAAATATTATGAATAAATGAAATGTTAAATTAAAAAAAATAAAGGGACAAATTGAACGATTAAACCCGCGTGCTGTGGATCAGCAGGCCAGTGCTCTACCACTAGAGCTATTGTCACATGTATGTTAAAAAATCCCTATTGTGTATATTATATGCTATACGATAGGGCCCGAGTATGCGAAGGAGGGAAGCGCATTCTCGCCGTAGCTTGGTAGCAAGGAAGGAGAGCGCGTGCTCGCTCTGGCTTAGCGTGGCTTGGTGGAGCGTGGAGGAAGAGGAGAGCGCATACGGTCTATAGTTCTCGCTTAGGGATACGCTATGGTAGGAAATGAGTGTTCTCTCACTCTAGTTCAACGTGGCTTGGCGCTGCACAGGCGGACGAAAATCTAATAAAGAACGCGCAGCTATGCTTACTACTTATCCTCTTATTTATCTCTATGGTTCTGTGCGGTTTGGGACCATTCTCTCTTTCAGAAAGAAGATATTTTTGTTCTCTCTATCTCTATCTCTTTCCGCAGAGCGAAGCCATACTTATTTTTATCCGCTAAAATCTATCTTATACAAAGAATATCTATGTATGCCTGTAGCCTTATCCATATTGTAGAAAAGTCATACTTGACGATATTGCATGCATTCGGTAAGATTTTTTATGGTCAATCGCGAGGAAAACTTCGAACTATCAATAGTAAAATGTTTTTTCTTCTACTTTTAAATTTTTATGCAAATCAAGAAGTCAGTGATGACCAGACTGGTTGCACAGAAAGTTGCCTATCAAATTGAAAAGACGGTCATAGAAAAAACGGGGGCTCGGTTATATCACCAAAAACGCGCAGAAGACATGCGTAGAAATGAGGAATTCTCTAGATTGATGCGGAAAAAGAAAGCAGAATATACGAAAGCGTTATTGTTAGCATCACCCTCAACATCGTCGTCATCGTCGACATCGGCAACGTTGTCATCGTCAGCGTCGTCATCATCAACGCTGTCGTTGTGAGTGTCGTGATCTTTAAAACCGCAGATACCTATGTTGAATATTTCACAGCCAAAGTCATTTCAAATTGTGATTGATATACGGCTTGATTTGTCTTGTGTGGTAAGTGCTTAAAATTCATAAATGTTTGCAATAAATATAAATTAAAATTAATATTTTTCTCATTTTCCCAGAGAAATATCCTGAAGAGACTAACGGTAAAGAATATCGAGGCTGTTCGTCATAAAATTATACTGATTCTAGCTGAACCAACACTGAGAAAGCCAACTTGCTCTCAAAAGATTGTAGGAACAAAAAAAATAATAATTTTGTAAAATAATCATCTGTAATATTTATTTGTATTATTCATAAAATAAAATACATTTTAAAAAATCGCTTCACTGGTAATTAGAAAGAGAGAGGCCCTATCGAGCTAGCGTAAGACTTGGAGAGAAGAGGAGAACGCTAGTACAGCGCTATATAGTTACGCAGACGTTGCGTGGTTTATAGCGTACAGTAGAGGGGGGCGTATTCTTATAGAGTAGGGTCACTGAGTTAAAAAAATTGAGATCATGCAATAGTCTCAATAGCGATACCCTTTCACATTATTATGTAATAAATGAAATAATGTAATAATTTAAATAATAATGCAATTTTATATATATTGCGTATGAAATCTTAGAAAGTAGGTAGAGGTATACACGTGTATTATGGAAAAAAGAGACAATTGCATTTTCAAATTTGATTTGTATTTATTGAGAATTTATAACATAATAATATAATATATACATTTTTTATTATATGTTTCTTATTTTCACTAGTTTTAATTTTTAATTTTCTCACATCATTGATGATTGAATTGTACTCCACGATTCCGTCATGTAGAATCAAACAATAAGGGGTAGTATTGTCAGAAAAATCATCTATTGTGTCAAATTCAAGGCGCACATCTACAGGTACTCTCTTATTTAATTCATTTTATTTTGAACAATTAATAACTATTAGATGAAAAGTTATTAATAAAATCATTTTAGTTAAGCAATGGCTCATTTTCTTTATCATGGTCCATCAGTTGGTAGAGTATTACGCATGAAAACACCTGGAAAATTTGCAATTTTGAGTATTTGAGCATATGTTATAATGTCTTGATCTGTCGATGCTCAATTTGATAAAGCTACTTCAAGCTATTTTCTTTTTCTTTTAAACCTTTTTCACTTGTATATGGCTTGAGGTGAAGACCATAACCTTTACGGTGCGGTATCAAATATAGATCTTTACCAATAGCAATAGCTTCTATAATTTTATTGTGTCTATGAGCCTCTTTCAATTAATTTTGAACAGCTTTAGTACTGTTAATGGCTTTTACTATTGAAGCAGCTTTCCAGCTAGAGCTCCAGAGGCGCTTAAAGTCGTAAATAATGGAATTCAAAAAGGAAGAGCTCCACGTACTTTACTAGGAATCGGTAGAAAACGCGGCATATTTATTATTATCTGCCTCTAATTTTCTGAAACTAAATTATCAACCAAAAGCACAAGTATATATATAATTCCGATCAAAGTGTATTCAATTTAGAAATGCATACCGGTAGAACATTGAATGAAAAAGGTAAAAAGACAGTTGAATCAGTAGTGCAATCAATATCATTAACTATGCATAGTCATACAATTTAACCGACAATATTTGCAAAAGGTAGAATGCTCTCACCCATTTTTATAGTATTCAAAGAAGCACAGTTATTAAAAAACTCTTCAAAGCAATATATATTTGTGAGCAACTGGATTAGGAAAGCTGTCGAGTGAATTACTTCAAACATTGTTAGAACATGTATTTTTTCCTAACTCTAGGCAAAAACAGCAGTTATATTACTAGACTCATGGAGTAAATAATGTGATCGAAATATCAGAGAAATAACACCATCAGAAAACAATTTTCGATTTATGACAATTACTAAGGGTGCCGCAAACAAAAATTAATCATTAAATATCTTCGGTTTCTGCTTTTGGAAAAACTTTGTTAGAAAAATATTTGATGCTGTTATTTTATTTGGATCAGACATTTCACATGAAAAAAAAGACATTATAAAATTACAGTCTATCACATATAATCAATTATCTTCACCTCAATTTAAAAATGTATTTAAAAATGCTTCAGTTTGCGCTCTGCAGGCACAGACAATGACCGGATTATACATCTACTCGTCTTTCACCTTTTCTGTTTTCTCTCTTGCGTTCTTATTTCTCTCGTACGCATTCTTTGTTAATGTGCACACGTGCGTGGGAATAAGAGGTGTTGAGATTCTGGCACGTGCTGCATTTCACCTCTGCTCGTATCGTATACAATCTTGTTTTTCTTCTTTCCGCCTGCTCTTTTATGGCAGATGTCTGTGCTTTTTGTGTGAATTGAAAAATATACGTGACGATTTAATGAGTTATTTGCAAAATGGCATTGAGTCATCTGTCATGCATGAGCAGCGCAACTGCGAGAGTTTAAATGTACAATCTCTCATATAATTTTCGCTTCGAACGAAAATTTCCGTATTCAATTTTTATTGACAGACACAGTGTTTGGTCCTCAAATGAAGCGGACGTGTTTTGTGCTGTGCTCTACTCGAAAATAAAGAATTTGAATCAATCAAGGAAAGAAACATTTTTACTCAAATTGATTACTGAAGGTATAATAATCAGTAGAATAATGGCCAAATAGCCACACAGGAAAGAGATACGATGTCTACACTTGTACACAATAACATAGAAAAATGGATAATTTTAATTTGAAATAAAGCAAAAAGGAGGAGAGAGACAGAAGAAGAAAGTAATAACCTAGATATAAATACAGCTCAAAATAAACAGCAAGCTAAGCTATCAGACTACTGGCTCAGTCAATCAGTCAATAGATTCGAAGTACTCGCGGACAGTGAAAATATAGAAATGAACGTAGAAA